GTTATCAGCTCCTCATTTTTCCTTTCCCCGCCACCCCCTCCCTCATGAACCCTTGATAATTTATAAATTATTATTTTGTCATATCTTACACTGTCCGACATCTCCCTTCACCCACTTTTCTGTTGTCCGTCCCCCAGGAAGGAGGTTATATGTAGATCCTTGTCATCGATTCCCCCTTTCTACACCACCTTCCTCCACCCTCCCCGTATTGCCATTCTCACCACTGATCCTGAATGAATCATCTGTCCTGGATTCCCTGTGTTTCCAGTTCTTATCTGTACCAGTGTACATCCTCTGGTCTAGCCAGACTTGTAAGGCAGACTTGGAATCATGATAGTGGGACTGGGAAGGAGAGGAAGCATTTAAGAACTAGAGGAAAGTTTATGTTTCATCGTTGCTATAGTGCACCCTGCCTGGCTTGTCTCTTCCCCACGACCCGTCTGTAAGTGGCTGTCCAGTTGCCTACTGATGGGCTTTGGGTCCCCAATCTGCACTCCCTTTCATTCACAATGATATGATTTTTGGTTCTTTGATGGCCTGATATCTGATCCCATCGACACCTCATGATCACACAGGCTGGTGCGCTTCTTCCATGTGGGCTTTGTTGCTTCTGAGCTTGATGACTGCTTGTTTACCTTCAAGCCTTTAAGACCCCAGACACTGTTTTGAATTGCTAAAACAATATCTTTACCCTTCAAAAAAAATGGAACCTTATTCTTTTGCCAGCAATGAGGGCCAAGTTTAATAGTCTCATAAATGACTCTTTATCTTCTAGCATGAAATTTAATACAATGTGCAAGCATTGTGCTGGTTTCTTTCACTTACTTTTTTTCTTTCTGTTATACTCACTTACTTGTCCTAACATATGAACGCATTTATGGTTTACTGAGGCAACTTATAAAAGATTGTTCACTGTACTTAACCACTGCAGAAAGCCATTGTCCTTCTAGTGAAAATAATAATGCCTCCTCAGTATTGTACATACTTGTTATTCATGTAATTTCTAGATGTGTGGTTTAGTAAGAGTTCTCTGCATTTATTAGTTTATTGCCAACTCTCTGTTCTCCTTTTTATTGAATTAGAATTCTTAAATAATATGCATCCACCCACTAAATCAGCCTACTGATCTCTTTGGGCTTTTTAGTTAAACATTTAAAATTATTTGACCCTTGCAAGGTATACAAGCTGTACCAGTCCTTGGGGCTAGTGTGTAGATATCTCAAATCATTGGGTAGACTGGAGAACAGGGCTTACTGACTGGAACAAAATGATATATGTCAGGGTAGAAAATGTTATTTTGTACACTGGGTTTAATTTTATATTTGAATTTATTAAAATACTCTTCTCATCATTTCTTAAAATTCTCAAAAAATCAATATATTCTGTGTAGCAGGTAAGTTATCCTTGAGATTAAAAATATGCTTGTACTAAAGATGTTGCAAGATATCTGAAAGAAGCAACAGAAACACCTGTTGATAAAAAGTATTGTGAATAATTGCTTTTTGTGGAGGCCTGAGATGTGTTTAATTAGGAATAAGGCAACAGTAGATGATAGTTGTTTTCGTGACAGTTGGACTAGATTTACTTCAGGCTAATTTGAAATGGAACAGAATGCTATGCCTTAAAATCTTTATTTTGCTATGAAATATGTTCAGTCAATAGGCACAGCCCAGAATGGTGTCTAAACTTCCTTTGTTTTATATAGTCTTTTATTGTTGTTATATATAGTCTTAAGAGCTGTTGTTGTACATTGTTGCTTGGTTTTGCTCTGTCTTGTTTTTTATGTATGTTGTCTCCTCAGGCCTGTCTTGATAGGACAGGCTGGATGAACAATCTGGATGAGAAAACAATGGGACTGACAGTTCCGGGGGGACATGGGAGAGGGGGAGGGGGAGAGAAGGGAAGAGGTG